CACATTATAGGCTAATAGGAGTCGAGATGTAAATTTTATGCATGCGGTGACACCAAATCCTTTATTTCGTGGGGCACGTCGAACCCCAGCGCGGGGTGATCATTTTGTCACTGCGCGATCGAAAGAGTGGGTAAGGTCGTGTAACGGCTAGCTGACTGTAAGTTCCCCATTTCAAAGGAATGGAAGAACAGGTAGCGTTTTGGTGGCTGAGATGACAGAGATAAACTACAGCAATGGAGTGGAATGCGTTGGATTGGGCAGGCCTTCGGGCCAGTTTCGGAGAACGTCAATGTTTCAACCCACACTAAGACAGCTAGAAAGCGCCGAATGACAACTAGAGAGAGGACGGATATCTGTCTAGTACCGCAGAAAGACGAAATGGTATCTCTTGTGTCACAAGCCTGGCTACCACAGTTGTTGCCGAATACTACCAGTTCTGCTGCATCCTCGCCTCGTTACGACTCGGGCCGGGCCACGAAGACTAATGGGTCTGATCGGCGCATTTTTCGGTCCGAGGTCACAACGGTGCATCCTTGCGAGGGACAAGCAAATCCCTGAACCAAGACAAGCCTTTTTAGGGGTCCTCCCATTGTCGAGGTCGAGACGTGCATAGCAACGGCCTCCCACGGCGCTCGTTCCTGCGCGACAGCCTCTGATGTCATTGTGCATATGCGGCATGCTGCGCAGCCAAAGAAAAGCTGGCAGGCGCAGGTCATGCTGACCGGTACCGTCGGTGATGCCGCTGATTGGCTGGTGCCAGGGGGCCGTCGCATTACTTCCCCGCCACCTACGTACCGTCCCGGCTGGAGACCTGAAGCCTTCGTGACCCCCAATCGCTGAAACATAGAAGTTAGATGTGGCTGCTCCTCATATCCCCCTCCAAAAAAAAAACCCCCCTTCAAAAACAGGGTGGCTCGACCTGTCGATCTGCACCCCTGTGCCGCAGTCCTAGTCCTATGCCGTAACCTGGTTGAAGCTTCGCTCGTCTCTGCTTTGTGTTCCTTTTTTATGCTTATCTGCGCGCGTCATGGAGATCGATAACCTAAGGTCCGCCGATGCGGCTCTCGGCCGAACTTGCGGTGAGAAACGGGCGTCGGATGACGGGGTAGCGAGCGACTTTAGCAGGGCCAAGCGGCTCCGATTCGACTTTTCCCAATCCGACCGTCGATCGAGAGCGGAGCAGCTCCTGCTAGAGGGCGCGGCCGAGGTCGTGGGGCTTAGTGTGGACCAGCTACTGTGCGCGGTGGAGCGATATATGAACTACCAGTCCGACCCATCGAGCGACGAAGGGAGCGGGTGCCAGGAGACACCGACCGAGTCGTCGTGCTCGGGAGACACAAGCAATACCGCCCAGCCCGGCCTGGACGGTGCTAACGAGGATATCCGCGCACCTTTCCAACTGACCCTCCCGGATCTCTCTCAGCGGGGGTGGCGCCAGTCGCAGCTGGCCGCGCACAACCTGTCGGGCTCTCCCGTCGCGACAGCGTCAAATCATGAGGCCGGAACGGCCGAGGCGGTTACACCATGGCTCGACGACATGATTGATGACAGTCTGCCGTGGAACTGGGACGTTCGCCTCGGCCCCCCGGCTCCCACGGCGCACAGACAACCGCCCCTGTATCCCAACGAACTTGTCTTGGAAGGAAGCAGGGACCTGCTATTCACGGACAGCAATGTGATGCCGTTCAAGCCCGGGCCGTTTCAACACCCGTCTTCCGCACCCATCCCCCGGTCCAACTCTACCCCCATCGGTAGTGTTTCCTCGCTTTCTTTGGCCTCAGGCGTGCCTCACCGTGAATCGGCAATAGTAGAAAAGGTTAACCCATGTGACACGGCAAATCAGAAGGCAGCCGACTGCGCGACGTCTTCCTCCGTGGCAACCCGCAAGTTACCTGGTGCGCCGAGAGGTTCGCAGATCAAAAAGCGAGGGCCATTTAAGGACCAGGGTCAGCGCCAACAGACCGGACTGGTTCGGTCGCTCGGGGCATGCATCCGGTGCAGCATGCAGCGGATTCGCGTATGTCTCTCTCCCCCTTTCAGTAGACCTGCAGGCTTTCATCTAACTAGAGCAGTGCAAACTTGATGACTCAAATCCCAATGGGTGCTGCCTCACCTGCGCCGAGGCTACCAAGACAAGAGCCCACTGGGTGCCTTGCTTGCGATACAAGATTACCGACGCGGAGCTTCTCGACCACGAGCTGTGCCCGCGAACGGCCTGGACGGTCCGCTGGAAGAAGATGGAGATGACCGAAATCAGCACGTGGGCCTCTGACCAGATCAAGACCATCAGCTGCACCCAGGACGTCATGGGCACAAAGTTTGAGCTCAAGGTGCGAAAGTTTGCGCCCGTTGCGGGCGACGCGCTGGCGCGAAAATGGAAGCGCGACGGCGTCGAGAGAACCTACGACTGTCCGCCATATGCGATCGCGAGTATGAAGGATGCCGCCAAGGTGATGGCGAGGTTTGTGGACAGGACCTTGTCCAGTAGTATCTTCTTTTACGTCGACGAGACGGATAAGTTGCTGCGAGATACCTACACGATGGCTTACCGACAGTCGAAGATCGCAGAGGTAGGACCGCGTCACGATGCCGTAACTTGGCGTTCAAGTGGCTAACTTAACTTGGCTTCAGCGTGAGGAGGAGCGTAAGCTATTGTTAGCCGTCCTGCGGCTGTGGGCCGCATCGAGGCTCGCGTGCCGCTCCGACAGGATTTGCGGCACAGAAACCCTGGGCATGGAGCCACAGGACTATGGCTCGGGCGATGCCAACAGCGGCATTCTTCTGACACCCCCAGTCTTCTCTGCCCAGCTAGAGGTCATCATTACGGCTACCCTGTTGGTCCCTGCCAAGAGGGAGGTGCTGAGTCTGCTGAGAGAGCTGCTCCAAGGCAACGAACGGCGCTCGTGGTTTGCCATCTACCTGGCCATGTTCATTCTTCTTCACAACTGCGCGTTGTTAACCCAAAGTGACAACAAAAAGGCGCGGAAACAGGGCCTTGAGGTATGAAGCGGTTGTTCTCCTATGCTGTTGCGGTGGCGGTACACCGAACTAACACGTCTGACTGCAGTCTCGTTTCTTCCGGACGGCACTCGTGGAAAGCCTCCATCATGGGGCGAAGATTCTTCTCGCGTATTTCCACTACTGCAACAAGGGAAGCCATCCATTCAAGATGGATTGGTCCGAGCCCGACCAGGTGAAATGCATGGAGATGGATGAGGAGCAAATCCACTTTATGCAGCAGACGACCAAGGAGATCAACGGGAAGAGTAGGTGCTCCGAGTTATAATTCATTACCGCTACAATGTGCTGACACGCATGATTTCAACAGGCGAGATGTTCCAGCGAATACGAGAGGAGGGGCTCTACGAGCATGAATACCATTTTATCTCTCAACTTTATGACGTCAACTGGAAGCCGGTCCATACTGTTTGAGCCGACCTCCTAGACCACGCGTATCTTCCAATCGTTTGCGGAACATGGGAGAAGCAGGACGGAGTCAACCATCTGGCCATATATGAGCCACGGCGCATGAGAAAGGGGGCGCATCGGATGATGAAGCATTTGACGAATAAGTTCTATAACCAAACAGACTGCTCGTCGGCAGCATTACGAAGGAAGGTTGGGACAAAAGCAACGAGACATGCCACAATATGTACATGTGAACAATAAGTTGTCGAATCCCGTCTCCATGAGTTATAAATATCATGAACTCTTCACAGCCAGATCTGCCAGCGGCGTGATCTCGATCTCGCACACTAGCACCGAACTGCCAGCATCTCGGGATCCTAACTCTACCACTTCTAGAACCACATGACTTAGATCAGCTCGCAATATAGGATATGGGCATGCCTTACTGGTGCGCAACGCTGCCTGGATGGGAGGCTGAGGTTCTCGCTCTTTGCTAGCCTGCAACGCCGCTTGCGTAGGAGGCTGAGGTTCTCGCTTGCTGCGCTTCGCAATTCTTCCCTGCCGTACCGTGTTGCTTCGGCTCCTCAAGGCAACCAGCTGGTCACAGAACGCGCGATCGAAATCTACCGCCCACATGAGGGTCCCGCAAGGCTGATGAGGGTGAGCTCAGTAAGGAGACGAACCATTATGACGTAAGAGAGCCGTGTACCCAATGTCACCCTCAGCCACGCCGTTCAGGTCCTGCGCCATGCGAATGAGTGATGATGTCTGAGTACGATACTGGACCTAAAAGTCGCAGAGGTCTGGTTTCCTGGTCTCATCATGGCCGACTTGCTCTAGGTATGTAGTACAATACATATAGCCATCTCCGGCGACTTGGTTAGGCTCGCGTCCAAACCAGGCGACATGAAGCCATCGTGACCTTGGCCATTCACCTAGTCACTCGGGTCGATCTTTATCCTACAACGGAGCTTATGAGCACCTCTATAACCGCGACCCTCTCGGTCGGGGCATGCTTTATTTGCCACGCTCGCTCGGGTTGCTGGAGCCGTCGAATCGGGCTACGCTGATCGGCGGTCCAGGACCTTGCTTGGGACCGATGCACTCACCGGTCCCTGGTCAGCTGAGATCGTGCTGCTGCAGCGCGAGTTGCGGCTCGGTCTCGACGACCAGTTCATGCACCCAACCGGTTGGAATTGCCTTCTCGACTTGTAGAGGCCAAGCGGCATTCGAAATCCAAGGCGGGCGTCGCTATTTGCGGCGGGACTTTTTGACACTCGCCACGCCTCTTTTTGATGCCAAGCAAACAGAGTACCTGAGTTCCAAGGTTTCCAGCCGAGCTTACGGAGAGAACCGGCCCCAGGTTCCCAGGCTCGAAAATAAAGGCGGCGCACTACTGCATTGGTCCCAGCGAGAGACACAAACCGCTCTTGTCTCCACCCGACCATTCGCCAGGCGAGGAATCCCTGTTGAGGCGCCTCGCGGTCCGCTGACAACTTCATGAGTCAAGATTAGGATCTTGGAGAAACTGAGATGCCCTGGTAGCTCAACTGGCTAGGTAAGGAAATAGGCTTTCCAAGCATTCATAGTCCGTCTCATTAACCCTGAGGGTGCAGAGCGTTGGACTTTTATAAGCCATCCAAAGGTTGCGGGTTCGATCCCCGCCTGGGGCGGCATCACCTTTTTTTCTTTCTCCTTTCGTTTCCCCTCTTTTTGGTTCCCAACCTGTGCACAACCAGGGAAAGAGGGGGTCTTCCTTTTTTTTTTTTTTTTTTAGTGGTCTTCTCCCAGGACGTGAGCGAAAACGATGGTTTCTGGCCCGCTTTCGCCATCACAGATTGCTAGAGGTTCAATCATTCATTCGTGAAACTATGGCACGGAAGCACAACAGCCTAGAAGACGGGTCTAGATGGTGAGGGGAGAGAGAAAGTGGCGTGATGTGGGAACATTCAATTTGCTGAGATGTTGATCGGCAGCGCTCAACATCTGTCATGATGAGTCCTCCGCTGCAGCTGAGGGCAATATCGCGTGGCACAGGTGAAATGCGAGCGACAAAGCACGTAGCGGGTTTACAAATGGCATGCCGGCCGGGCTGCGACGAGCGCCTCGCATGGACAAAGATAGTCGACTTACCTAGCAGCGTTAGATCCTCGTGTTGGGGGGCGCTGTGCTCCCAATAGTGTGGTGTGCCACCTCACGGCCAGTTGAGGGGTCCCTCGGGTATATGCGTACCACCCACCGCCCAGAGGCGCTGTATGGGCGGAGGAGTTCAGCCGGCACGCCATGGCGGAGCAGCAGCATGCAAATCGTATGAGAACCCCCTCCCCACTGCCGATGGTACCCCGGGGCGCTGTGGGCGAATCAGCCACAGGGGATCCTGCCTACCCCGGGGGGTGAGTTACTGGGATGTGTAACAGCTGGCGGTCGAGACCGTTCTATTCTTCACCCACCAAAGAGCCTCAACAGCGGTCCCCTGATAAGCGCCGTCAGGGTCTCCGCCCGTCGCGAAGCCGACCCGTACAGGCGGAGAAGAGGTAGGAAACGAGCTCCCAGGCCACAATCGACCTCCACGGGGAGTGCCGAAGTCTCTATTGCATTCCGCTTGCACCCCGATTGACCATCCGAGTAGAGTGCGCTGCACTACGTGCGAACCAAAAATAATTAAAATCATGGCTCCGCACGAAGTGGCCTGGGAGTCAGATTCGGAGTCGCTGTGGGAGGCCAATAGCTACACGCCGTCTACAGCGTCTATCCAGGCGCTGAAGCGAGCACTGAGGCTAAACCACCCTCCGGGGCCGGCCGGGGCGCCGAGCTGGGTCTCACCGGGCCCTCGCGCCATCGATTCGCACGATCGGGACGAGATCGCCGATCGCTCGGTTCTCCAACTGACCCTCAGCGACCTCTTGGAGATCGAAGAGGCGGTCGCATACTTCAACGGTCTGCGCTAGCCCAACCAACTACCTACCCGCAAGGTAGCTACCTACCTTTGGCGGCCCGCTCATGGTAACACTCGTCAGGCACCCATCTCCCCCTGAGCAGACTGCAGGCGGATTGCTTCCCCCTGCCGACCCTGTCGGCCAGGATTCGGCAGCGTAGCCTGGCCCTCCCCGGCGAGCAGCCGTACTTTCTCGTGCGCGGCCTGAAGCCGCAGTGGTACGGCAAACGGACAAGCGTAGTCATATTCCTGGGCATTGCGAGCCACGTGGGAACGAAGCGGGCCATGGCCAAGGGCGATGCCACGGTGCTTCGTATGTTAAGACCCGACCTTCCCCCCTTCCCCCCC